TTCTTGATACGACAATAGCTGCATTCCGTAGACTTACAGCGCCACATTCTCGAACGCGGATGCGAGCAGCAAAGAATGTGAGTCGGGTAAGAAATGGGCCTTTGTTCTGGTGCCAACCTTTCCTGAAACCCCGTTTGGGGGAAAAGGCAGAGATAGTCCTTCGCCAGCTGTGGGCAACTCAAGGCCAACCTGGCTTCAAAGGCCCTGTTTCGATAGCTTCTGCAGCCCAGAGAAATGCGTATGTAATGTCTGCATTTGCCACTTCCCACCTTTTAAAAGCACACATGCATCTTTGAAAGAAATGCCATAGTTTAGTGGCAGAGCACATAGAACCATAGAACTGCATGACCCCCAGGGTCATCTTTGCATTCTGAAGGTTCTCCAGGTTGCACTTGGAAACAGTGGCATAGCATGGTGGGGGCCACAGGAGCCATTGCCCTGGGCGCAAAATTGTTAGGGGTGCAAAATTCCAACACCCGGTGCTGCCTCAATACAGCTGTGTGTTTCTGTTGCTGGGCTCAGCTGAGAACGGCTTCACCATGTGAACCAGAAAGTGACCTCTGTAGACAACAGAACGACTCTTATTTTCTTATCTCTGCAGCTGTGATCACCTGAGTGATGCAGACACCATCAGGCAGTTGAATGTGCATGCATAGTCCATCCGATTCCCTCCCTCCCATTCCACCAGCCTCTGTACAGCCCCGGGCACTGTCAACCCACACTACACCACTGCTTGGAAAGGCTCCCATCTGAAACCCTGCAGAGCTGATGCCAAATGTATGCAGCAGCCAACATCATGCCCAACTGTTGTCTCCATCCATGCCAGCCAGCATGGGCAACGGTCAAGGACGATGGGAACTGTAATAATAATTTTTTATTATTTATACCCAGCCCATCTGGCTGGGTTTCCCCAGCCACTCTGGGCTTCCAACAAAGTATTAAAATACAGTAGTCTGTTAAACATTAAAAGCTTTCCTAAACAGGGCTGCCTTCAGATGTCTTCTAAAAGTCTGGTTGTTGTTCTTTTCTTTGACATCTGGTGAGAGGGTGTTCCACAGGGCGGGCGCCACTACCGAAAAGGCCCTCTGCCTGGTTCCCTGTAACTTGGCTTCTCACAATGAGGGAACCACCAGAAGGCCCTCGGCATGGGACCTCAGTGTCCAGGCAGAACGATGAGGGTGGAGACGCTCCTTCAGGTATACTGGGCCAAGGCCATTTAGGGCTTTAAAGGTCAGCACCAACACTTTGAATTGTGCTCGGAAACGTACTGGGAGCCAATGTAGGACTTTCAAGACTGGTGTTATGTGGTCTCGGTGGCTGCTCCCAGTCACTGTAGTCCACCACATCTGACAGGCAGCATATTTGCTACCCCGAATGTTGGGGAACTTGGGTAGGTGGACCAATGGTCTACAAGCTATGATAGCTATGTTCTCCATCCACGGTCAGAGGCAATATGTCTCTGAATGGCAGTTGCCAGGATTCCTAAGTGGAGATAGTGCAGCTGTACTCAGGTCCAGGGGTCAGGATCCCCATCGAGGCATCTGGTTGGCCACTGTGCAAAGAGGATGCTGGACTAAGTTGGCCATTGGCCTGATCCAGCAGCCTCTTAACTTCTTACATCTCAGTAGAAAGCAACATCCCACATGATTTTCCTTCTTCATTTTGGGCTGTGCATTTTTATTTTTATTTCACAAAATGCCCAGTCAGAAGCAACCTCGCTCCTCAAATTGCATCGGCTCCGCTAGCAAGCTTTTAAGGAAGGAAGGCTTTTGCAAAAGAGAGTTCCCTTTGTGCAGAGGTTTTTCTTTCTCATTGTGGTGAGCAGGAGGGGAAGTCATTTTAACCATTATTATTTTTATCTCGAACCAATTACGCATAATAGCTTTTAATACCCGCTATCAGATCCGACTTCCTACACATGTACAATCTTTCCACAAGTTAATCTGGTGCTTAACTGCATTATGTAAGGAGGCCCGAGACACAAAAATAAGATACTTAAAATGGGTATTATTTTTTTAAAAAATAGAATAACAAATGCTGAATAAAGTGCTTGTTATAAGCTGCCCTTGACATAGCCTCAGGAATGCAAAACTTTTATATTGACTCAAGATAAGTGCAGGAAAAAACGACAAGAAGCAGTCCATTGTTTGCAAGTGGGGGCTAGGGGAGGGTTCAGTGGAGTCCTTCTGTTTAACTATGATAGGAAACAATCCAATGAAATCTGGAGACACGGGAGATGCTATGTTTGGCAGGCTCCTGGGGGTGTAATGATCTTTCCCTGTGAGCCTGAAAGGAGAAAGGGGCTATTTCTGCATCATCTATATAGGAGGGGAAGGTCCATAGCTCAGTAGCAGAACATCTGCTTTTCATACAGAAGGTCGCCGGTTTGATCCCCAGCATCTCCAGGTTAGTACTGGCAGAGAAGCCTGAGTGAAAAACCCTGGACAGCTGATGCCAGTGAGTATAGGAAATATTGAAAAAGATGGACCAACAATCTGGTATAAGGCAGCTTTCAATGTTCCTCTGTACGTTGCAAATTGGCTGATGGGCTGCAGTAAACATCTGCACAAAGGGTCTCGTTAAAATGGGACAGGACATGAGATATGCCTCTTTGGTGACTCCCATTTAGTTTGCATGTTCCTCCCTGGCTCACCTGCAGTGCTGAATTTATGTACAGTGGTACCTCGGTTTAAGAACAGTCCTATTTACGAACAATTCAGTTTACGAACTCCGCAAAACCGGAAGTAGTGTCCCGGTTTGCAAACTTTACCTTGGTCTAAGAATGGAATCCGAACAATGGAAGGGCACCAGAGGCGGGAGGCGTCATTAGGGAAAGCGTGCCTCGGGTTAAGAACGGTTTCGGTTTAAGAACAGACTTCCGGAACGGATTAAGTTCATAAACTGAGGTACCACTGTATAAGCTAAAGGAGCTATAGCATAGGGCCCCACTCTCTTGGGGACCCCAAACAAATTTAAAGAAAAACAACAACTGGATGTACATTTCCAAAATATAAGATAAAAAAACCAAATAAAATAAAACCTACATACTGCAACAGTGTTTTGTGTTGTGCAGGCTCCTATGATGTAAGTCAAGGGTCAGCAAACTTTTTCAGCCGTGGGCTGGTCCACTGTCCCTCAGACCATGTGGTGGGCCAGATTATATTTTGAAGGGGGAAAAATGAACGAATTCCTGTGACCCACAAATAACCCAGAGATGCATTTTAAATAAAAGGACACATTCTACTCATGTAAAAACACACTGATTCCCAGGCCATCCACGGGCTGGATTGAGAAGGCGAGTGGGCCGCATCCGGCCCCCAGTCCTTAGGTTGCCTACCCCTGATGTAAGTAATGGGCCCCGCCTGCTAGCCTGCTCCCTAAAATTTTACTGGTTTGTTCATTTCTATATACAGTGGTGGGACGCAGGTGGCGCTGTGGGTTAAACCACAGAGCCTAGGGCTTGCCGATCAGAAGGTTGGCGGTTTGAATCCCTGTGACAGGGTGAGCTCCCGTTGCTCGGTCCCTGCTCCTTCCAACCTAGCAGTTCAAAAGCACGTCAAAGTGCAAGTAGATAAATAGGTACCGCTCTGGCGGGAAGGTAAACGGTGTTTCCGTGCACTGCTCTGGTTCGCCAGAAGCGGCTTAGTCATGCTGGCCACAGGACCCAGAAGCTGTACACCGGCTCCCTCGGCCAATAAAGCAAGATGAGCGCCACAACCCCAGAGTCAGCCATGACTGGACCTAATGGTCAGGGGTCCCTTTACCTTTACCTTATATACAGTGGTACCTTGGTTCTGAAACTTAAAGGGCCCCATTGCCTTCAGCAACTTAGGGCCTCATCAAACCTAAATCTGCCCCTGCTCACCTGTGCTTCACTGGGTCAGATTATAGTCTGTAAGCCCCTCGGGGCAGGGACCTGTTATCTTGTACTTTGTATAGTAACAGAAACATAAGAAAAGCCCTGCTAGATCAGGCTAACCAGATGCCTCTGTGAAGCCCCAGAGCAGGACTGGGGACTCTACATGCATCAGCACTCTCCTCACTTGTGATTCCTGGAAACTGGCATTCAGGAACATACAGCCTCCCAGTGGCAGACCTACATTTTTTATGCTCTTGGCGCACTCTCATTAGGCCAGTCAGCCTGAGTGCCTTCCTCTAACACAGGTTGCAGAATTATGAACAGGTGAAAGATAGGCTATTCTAAGAAACTGTGATGACTGTGTGATGGCAAGAGTAGGGAAGAGGTAGAGACTCCGAATGGATGCCCTGAATGAAAAGGCCAACAGTCAGCATTGCAATTAAGAGATGACTGTCAAGTGATTGACTCAGCCTGTTGTTGGAGCACAAGATGTAAAAGGAAAAGAATGTGTTGTGGCTGGGAGGGGCGGCTTCCTATTTCAGTGTAGATGTGCACAGAGAACTGGAAATACGTGACACGGTAGGGATGGGGAAATCTGCTTATTTCAGCTTCTCTCAGTTTTGTTTTTTAAAGTTTTTATTAATATTTTTTAATTTCAGAACGCATATAAAACAGAAAGAACAATTATAACAGGCAAAAGGATGAAAAACAAAACGATAAAACTGGTGCATAGAATGAATAGTTGCACATGAGTTAAAATAACGAAGCCCAAGTAAAGACTGTCAGCTTTATCAGATCATCAGGTTTACAGTGGATGCTCGGGTTACGAACATGATCCATGCGGGATGCACGTTCTCAACCCGCAGCGTTCACAACCCACGTCTGCTTGTCTGCGCATCCGTGGGTTGCAATTCGGTGCTTCTGTGCATGCGCAAAGTGTGATTTAGTGCTTCTGCTCATGTGCGACTGCCAAAACCCGGAAGTAACCCGTTCCGGTACTTCTGGGTTTCGGCAGTCCACAACCCAAAAAAACCCAACCTGAAGCGGACGCAACATGAAGTATGACTGCATTTCCATATTTCCCAGGCTTGAAAATATCTGGGTGATTTGAGTCTATCCCTGCTCCCACTGAAGATGTGCAGCCTGGATAGCTCAGTTGTTAGAGCGTGGTGATGACGACACCAAGGTTGCAGGTTCGATCCCTGTATGGGGCAGCTGCATATTCCTGCATTGCAGAGGGTTGGGCTAGATGAACCACAGGGTCCTTTCCAACTCTATGATTCTATGATTTTATGTCTGCTGCTGAGCCTGGACATTATGAGTGCAAAGCATCCACTGCCACAGAGCTCATGACTCTTCCCTACCAAACTCTAGCTTCTGGAGCAGAGACGGGAAACCCATATCCCATTCCATTTTTATGATAAGGATCTGTTGTCCCTGCTGCTCCGGCACTTGAAGAGTCAAGCTGATATTTCCTGTTTTGATTTTTTCCCTCCAGCTTAGACCCACTCATCCTCCACGGGCCTTTATAAGGACTAGATTAAACGGATGCCTTAAAAAAAAGAAAAAGACTGCCTTTGCCAAAATGTGTGCAAGAACGTTTCCTTTGGGTAAGAATATTTTTCACCAACAGGTTGGGGCAATGTACGAAACTATGCACAAGGCCGTATTTTTGTCAGCTTGCTTTGCTCTGAAAAAATAAACCCATTATGGATTGCAGAAAAATAAGTGGCAGGGAGGCTGGAGAGGGATTTTGGAAGAGAGCCACAGAGCTGTCTGATCTTTACAATATTGTATTGGCTCTGGTACATACAACCTGTTTCAAAAGTAGAGTAGGTGAAGCTTGTTTGACATGTAGCTTTCATGATTCCTGTCGTGTTATCTCAGCCTGGATAGCAAACATTGCCTGATGAAGTTTTTAGTTGTTGTTTTCTTAAAGTATCCTGTGTTATAGGAATATAAGAAGTGTCTGCTGGATCATCCCAAAGGCCCCTCCAGCCCAGCATCCTGTTCTCTCAGGTGGCCAACCATATGCCTGTGAGAAATCCTCAAACAGGACTCAAACACAAGAGAGTTCTCTCCTCCTGTAAAGGTAAAGGTACCCCTGACCGTTGGGTCCAGTCACAGACTACTCTGGGGTTGTGCGCTCATCTCGCTCTATAGGCCGAGGGAGCTGGCGTTTGTCCGCAGACAGCTTCCGGGTCATGTGGCCAGCATGACTAAGCTGCTTCTGGTGAACCAGAGCAGTGCACGGAAACGCCGTTTACCTTCCCGCCGGAGTGGTACCTATTTATCTACTTGCACTTTTACGTGCTTTTGAACTGCTACATTGGCAGGAGCAGGGACCAAACAACAGGAGCTCATCCCGTTGCAGGGATTCAAACCGCCGACCTTCTGATCGGCAAGCCCAAGGCTCAGTGGTTTAAACCACAGTGCCACCCGTGTCCCTCTCTCCTCCTGTAGTTTCCAGTAAATCAGTTCTGCTTCTGAGTGGGACCAGGTTGCGCTCTGGCCACCAGGTCCCACCCCCGCCTCAGCATGGGGTGGGGTAGCATCCTGTGTCATGCTGAGGGTGCCCCGGCCACGCCATTTGACAGGCGACCAATCACGGCACTGTGGGGGCACGGCCGGGGCCAATTTAAACGCGGCACGACTCTGGAAGCTCCTCTTTCAGCCTCGCACCACGGATCTCCCGCCCTCCCACCCTCTTTTAGGTAGGGTCGCTGGCCTTGCTATGGACTTCAGTTGGTCACCGCTGAGAGGCCTGGGAGGACTCCTTCCACTTGGCAAATTGGCACCAGCCACTTGGATTTCGCCTACCTCGTAGCAACCGCCACAACTTAGTAAGGTTTGGCAGTTAGGCACTGGAATAGCGATGTGGAAGGAGGGGAGGTGCAGCCATCACCTGCCCCTCCATGCAAAAGGGTATTCCGTTAAAGGAATCCGGGGGTGTGGATCTTGCCTGAAGCCCGGGGAGGGGCTAGGACCATGCCACGACCCCAGCAGGAACCCCCTACTGGTGGTTTACCCTTCCAGACTTCCTGCAAGGTAGGCAGGAGTCAGATATAGTCTGTTGATGCCAATGCCTAAGCCAATACCGCTCACATTCTGTAACCAATAAAGTTGTGGCCTAAATTTTGCCCATTAACATTAAACTAAATCCTGCGTCCTTGTGTCTTTATTCTCATGGGGGTGGCTTGGGGGTCTTGAAGTGCAACTGGTATTCAGAAGCAATTCTGCTTCTTGCTATAGGGCAAAGCATAGCCATCATGACTAGTAGCCATTGAAAGCCATCTCCTAAATGATTTTGACTAATCTTTTGTTAAAGCCATCTACGTTGCTTTCCATCGCTGCTTCCTTGTGGGAGCAATTTCCATTGTTTTACCTATGCATTGCAAGAATAAATCTTCCAATAATCAGCTACATTGGAGGTCCATGGGTTCTGGTGGGAGGAAAAAAATTGCTAGCCACTTTCTCCATGCCCTGGATAATTTTACATTCTAGGTACTCTGTTGCATTAAAATAAAAACGCACTGTGTTTGCGTCAGCATTCTTGATCTGGCAGCCCACAAAGGTTGTGTCCTGTGACCTCTAGAACAGGGATGGGAAAACTCTGGTCTTCCAGACATTGATTCCAACTCCCATCAGCCCCAGCCAGTTGGAGCAATGTTCAGGGATGATGGGAGCAGTAATCCAGCAACATCTAGAGGACGGCAAGTGAGCCACCTCTGCCTTAGATGTTGTATATGTCAATTGGAATGGAGGGTGAAGATGAGGATATGCTCTCCTAGGTCCCCATTTATAGGCTCAACAAAGGGGGGGTCGTGACTTTTTCCATGCTGTGGGTTAAACCACAGAGCCTAGGACTTATCAATCAGAAGGTTGGCGGTTCGAATCCCCGCAACGGGGTGAGCTCCCGTTGCTCAGTCCTTGCTCCTGCCAACCCAGCAGTTCATGCTGGCCACATGACCCGGAAGCTGTATGCCGGCTCCCTCGGCCAATAAAGCAAGATGAGCACCCCAGAGTCAGTCACGACTGGACCTAATGGTCAGGGGTCCCTTTACCTTTACCTTTAGCTGATTAGGAGCCTTGATGTGTAGATGTTTCAGACTGATGGGTGGTTGAACTCAGGCCTGGGACAGAATCTGGCCCTCCAGGCATCTCTATCCGTGCCTCAGGTTTTTCCCCAGTTGTGACCCCCCCCCCCCACGCACCACATCTCTTCCCAGCACTAATCTGTGCTCTCACTCAGTGCTTTTCCTCAGTTGTAATGTGTCACCGAACTCTGGTAATGCCTATCTGGATGGAAGATGGAAAGATGTTCATGCATGTGTAGGAAACTCTGACCTTTATGTAGCTGCAACGTAGCCCATTGTACAAAGATAAGAGTTGCATCTGTTGCTCTGCCCTCCCCCCCCCGAACATCTGCAAGCAGCCCCCAAAAGTTTGCTCACGAGGAAATGTGGCCCTAAGGCTGTCAAATGGCCTCCACCACTGCTTTAGTTGAAAAAACAAAGCCCAATGTCTTCATTAAGTTTCCTAAAACAGTGTAGGCCTGGCCTGGATTTTCACAGGCTGTTGTGGTTTTCTGGTTTCATAGCTGAGTGGTAGCTTAACAAGTAACTATGGTTTGCATTGTGTCTGTCTAGGGGGAGCAAGTTCCATTAGGGTTGAAAGAGGTCACCCTTCTTGCCAACCAAACCCTGGAAAGGAAACAAATCTGTCAAGCCTGAAAGCAGCACATGAGTCACTCTCTTAAATTTATGGCAAACCGTTGAACAAGGCTGTGCTTAACAAAACTCGTGTGCGTTATGTAAAATGCACCTTAAAATGAAATTTCCTCTATGGCTTCCAATCTTCCAGTTGCTAATAAGGTACTACCCGCTATTGTTAACATCTTGGTTCAAGATCAACAATATAAAAACCACACCATTCCAAATCTGGACACATCCTGTATTTCAGGGTTCTAAATACTGGAAGCTCTAATTGTAGAACAGCTTTATGGAACATAAAGCCAACTATGGCTTTCTGCAAAATAAAATAAAATAAAATAAATGTCGTGGTGCAGAGGCAAGAGATGTTTTTCAACCTGAGAGGCACATTCCCTTCTGGACAACTGTTTTTGAGGGCCACATGCCAGGTCCAGAAGCAAAAGTAGATTAAGCAAGGAATATTATTATTATTATTATTATTATTATTATTATTATTATTATTTTGTACAGTAGAGCCTTTTGTATCCTCCATCCATGCAATCAAGAGGCATGACCAGCGTTCAAGAACATTTTCCAACCAGGCAAAAGCACCTGGAGTATAAAGGAAAGCCAGTGAGAGGTGTGGCTGGGAAGGGAGTGTGGCCTGAGGGCCAGATAGAGAGGACTGAAGGGCCACATAAGCCTGATGTTCTCCATCTCTCCCGTAGTGTTTACACAAACACATTTAATCATATGTTCCAACTGCATTCAACAGGGATAATGTTGTTGGTTTCTGAGGAAGGACTGTGGCTGTGATGAGGCACCAGCCTTGGACACAGAAGGTCCTTGTTTCAATCTTCGGCAGCTCCAAGTAGGGCTGGAAATGACCCCCTGTCTGAAACTTTGAAGAGTCACTGCCAGTCAGTAGAGACAGTGCTGAGTTGGATTGGGCCAATGGTCAGACTCAGGAAGGCAGCATCCTATGCCCCTGTATTTTCTTTTCTTTTACTATGTGTACCAGATTGTGATCACGTACTCATTCTGTACCCAATTGTCTACTGAACTATATATTTTGTTGGGGTAAGACAGCTTCTGTTCTCCATCACGTCCTACAGTTCTGAAGAGACTGGTGCTTTTAGTTTTGACGTATCTCAATTCTGGGGACACAGGTGGCGCTGTGGGTTAAGGCACAGAGCCTAGGACTTGCCGATCTGAAGGTTGGCGGTTCGAATCCCCGCGACGGGGTGAGCTCCCATTGCTCGGTCCTGCCAACCTAGCAGTTCAAAAGCACGTCAAAGTGCAAGTAGATAAATAGGTACCGCTCCAGCAGGAAGGTAAACGGTGTTTCCATGTGCTGCTCTGGTTCGCCAGAAGCGGCTTAGTCATGCTGGCCACATGACCCGGAAGCTGTACGCCGGCTCCCTTGGCCAATAACGCGAGATGAGTGCCACAACCCCAGAGTCGGACACGACTGGACCTAATGGTCAGGGGTCCCTTTACCTTTATCTCAATTCTGGCTAAGCTTTTAAGAGTGGCTGGGGAAACCCAGACAGATGGACGGGGTATAACTTCTTCTTCTTCTTCTTCTTCTTCTTCTTCTTATTATTATTATTAGGTTTTTGCGTAGTCCGGCAAGGCCAAAATTGTCAAAATGGAAAATGCACACCCTCATAGCTCACAAACAGAATGAGATAAAAAAATAAAATTTTAGATTTAAGTTTAGTTTTGATCACTCAACAAGTGTACAAAATATTAACAAAACTGGGTGACATGAGGTAAAAAAAGTTGGATCACTTGTTACAGAATGAGCCAGCTGGGCATTTCGAAGGAAGACTGGTAAAGATGGGCAAGCTGTTTTTCAGAGTAGTTCATATATGACTTTTGGGGAAAGGGTTAGGCTGCCGTCTGTATGTTGTTTTGATTAGTCTGAGGCTGGAGTAGCCAACATGGTGCTTTCTAGATGTTGATAGTGGACTACAACTCCCATCATTCCAGATCACAGGTCCTGCTGGGAACTGGAGTGCACAACATCCAGACGGTGCCACTTAGGTCGAAGGTGTGGTCTTGAGTGATGGCTTCAGGGGCTAGTCTTTTGACCCAGACTGCCCCTTCTCTACTCCTGACTGGTTGTATTCCTGAACAATACAGAAACATTGTTGGCACATAATGTAGACCACCAGAGTTGAAAGATGACAAATATTTATTCAACCAGTTCTACATTTTTACAAAGCCACAGGAAACATCAGACCCGAGAGGCAGCTCTTTAAGAGCTCAGGAATGTGTGGGGAAACGAAGACATCTTAAAATGCATGATCAAAGGAGTTTAAGGTGTCTCTGCTGGAGTATTTTAGGACTATAGAATTTGGTCTAAGAGGAAATAAACCATGAGTTTATTTGTATTTGACATAATCTGTTACAATTCTCTTTTTACAAAAGGCTATGGCATTTTTGTTGGCTCGTTTTCTGATAACCCTCAGAACAGGAAGTCGTGCTTCTCAGACTGATCAGTTGGCAACAAAAAGTGGTACATCCATAATGGATTGAGATAATTTTAGGGAACATCACTGGAAAAAAATGAAAACGCGATCAGTGCAAAATCTTTTTTTTTTTCTATATTTCACTTATGGATAAAATTGTTTGTCCAATACCAGCTAACCTGGTCTTTAAGATCTGCAGGGTCAGACCTCCTCGTGGCCTCTAATAGGATTAGTTGGGGGGAGCATGTGACAGGGTCTCCCCTGTTGTGGCACCCAGATAATGGAAGTCCCTCACACTGGAAGTGTCTTTGTCTTCCTCACTTTTGAGTTACAGGCATCAGCTGGAGACACATTTGTTTAGTCAAGCATCTGAAAGGCAAAGACATTTTGAAGCTGTGGGGATTTTTGTAGATGCTTATGGTTACCAGAAGTCCTTGTCTTCAAGGAATTTATATACATTTTTTTGTGATGGGTGTATTTTGATGCTTTAAACCCTTGTTGCACACCACATTGAGTTCAGTTTTAAAGAAGGGTGGCCTGAAAATGCAGTTAAATAAATAAATAAAAGGATCCAGATTTCTCATGGCAGTGGTGGTACTGGAAACATCAGATTAGTGTGCCTCAGACAATTTGGTAGCTGGTTCTGAGAGTTTTAAATTGGGGTATTACAGATATATAATTGGCTGATAACAAGCAGCTATTTCTCCCAAATTCTTCTTCTTCTTCTTCTTCTTCTTCTTCTTCTTCTTCTCCTCCTCCTCCTCCTCCTCCTCCTCCTCCTCCTCCTCTTCATATTTCAGCCAGCCATTCCTCCACAGAACTCATGAGGACAATTTTGAATCTTTGACAATTTGAATTTCCAAATCTTTACATGTTGTTGTGGTTTAGTCATTTAGTTGTGTCCGACTCTTCGTGACCCCATGGACCAGAGCACACCAGGCACTCCTGTCTTCCACTGCCTCCCGCAGTTTGGTCAAACTCATGCTGGTAGCTTCGAGAACACTGTCCAACCATCTCGTCCTCTGTCGTCCCCTTCTCCTTGTGCCCTCCATCTTTCCCAACATCAAGGTCTTTTCCAGGGAGTCTTCTCTTCTCATGAGGTGGCCAAAGTATTGGAGCCTCAGCTTCAGGATCTGTTCTTCCAGTGAGCACTCAGGGCTGATTTCCTTAAGAATGGATAGGTTTGATCTTATTGCAGTCCATGGGACTACATTTACATATTGATCCTTTACTGTTTGCCTGTTTGTTTTAATGTGAGTTGGGACCAGAGTGTCCTCCAAACAGAGGACTGCCTTTCTCAAGTAGGACACATGGCTGCACTGTGGTAGAGCCGGCCCTGTAAAAAAGACAAATACAAATACTGATGAATTCTAGACACCATTACTTTTATAGTAAAATCACTAAAACCCCATGTAAAAGAAGGAAATGTGATTGAATGCAAACAAATTCATTACCTGGAGCAGGCTTCACCAACCTGGTGCCCTCCAGATGTTTTGGCCTCTTCAACGTCTGCATCATAGCTCGGTTTGTAGAGTATGAGACTCCTAATCTCAAGGTCATGGGTTCAAGCCCCATGCTGAACAAAAAGATTTGCGTGGCGAGTTCCCGCCTCCCCCCAGTGGAAATAAAGACACATGACACAATTATTAAGGTTAATGGGCTAAATAAGGCCACAACTTTATTGGTTACAGGTGATGAGCAGCATTGGTCCTAACCGACTATATCTGGCTTCAGCCCATCCACTTGAAGTCCAGAAAGGGTTAACCACCAGTAGGGGGAGTCCTGCTGATGCACATCAACTAGGAACCCCCCTCCAGGGTCACCGCTCAGGGGCGTGCCTTAGGCCCTCACCTCCATAGGCTTCAGCCAGGGCCATGCCCCCCGGAATCCTTTATCTGACTACCCTTCAATATGTGGGGCAGGTGATGGCGCTTCCTCCCCTCTTCAGTCTACATAACAATACCAATACCAATGCCTATCCGCCAATACCAAGAAAGTTGTGACGATTTGCTACGAGGTAGGCGAAAACCAAGTGGCTGGGTGCCAATTTGCCAAGTGGAAAAATTCCTACCAGGCCCCTCAACAGCGACCAACCAAGGTCCATAGCAAGGTCAAGGAACGAAAACCTTAAAGGGCAGGAGGGTGGGAAACAGGAGCAGCTGGTAGGTGGCAAAAGAGGGAGATCTCCCGGCCGCATCCTGCCTTAAATAGGGCAGGCCATGCCCCCCGAGCCAGCTGATTGGCTGGCCAGGGGGTGACGCGACCAGGGATTCCCTCAATCGCGCGGAGGCTGAGCTCCAGCCGCCGCGCTTGTGGTGGGGGCGTGATGCCCACAGCACCACCTCCTTTGCGAGGCGGAAGTGGCTTTCTGCATTGCAGGGGATTGGAACGATGATCTTCCTGGTCTCTTCCAACTCTACAATTCTGTAATTCCATCAGCCCCAGCCAGCTGTTGGGAGTTCTAGTCCAAAACATCTGAAGGGTGTAAACATCTGGTTGGTAAAGGCTGACTGAGAGCAACAGCAATTGTGCAGTGATGGTCTAAATTTAATATCGCATCCACATGGCAGGTTGGGAACTCCCTCATTTTAGGGTCATCACCTGTCCAGTGGTTCCACTTCATACTACAGCAAGGGAGTTTCTGAATGCCAAGACCTCAGCCTTCACTGGCCACTCTTACCTTTGGCATTCCTCGTCCCTATACAGTAAGTTGCATTGACAAGTTTGCACTATAAACACAAAGCCTAAAATTAAATAGCGGGGTAAGGAGGGAGGGAAAACTCAGCTTGCCAAAGAGCAAATGGAGAGGGCAAGCACCTTGTTCAATGGAGTTCTGTTTCCAAACAGTCCGTGGTTTCTTTTTCTTCTTCACCAGAAATACTAAATGGTGCAAAAGGCAGGTCAGGGCTATTTTGAGAAAGTGTGGAAGTCAGTTCTATAACCCTTTGACGCCAGGATTCCAAAGTCCCAGACGCTGCGAAATGTTAATGCAAAAACCCACCCAGTGTTAGAGGAGCTCGGTGGCTATCCTTAGCCTGCCCACAATTGAAACAGAAAAAAAGGGCGGGGGAGATTAAAAATCATATTTCAACTTGATTTAAATCCAGTAAATAAATGTCAGCAGCTGGCAGGCAATCCAGTTGAACTGGAAATCCAATTTCAATACTTCACAACATGTCTATTGGTCATTTAATTTAACATTCTCTCACACACAATTATGATCTGTTTTGCAAATGTATGGAAACCCTGCCCCTATTTTAATTGGTTTTGCTCCTCGATGTTTGATTAAGCATTACGCATGGAGCCTGACAGCTTTTGAAAGCTGGGTTTCCACTCTGACATCCACATCTAAAAAGAGCCTATCAACAGGCAGTAGGCGGAGCCAGTTCCTAAGCCACTCCCCCCTCAAGGCTTCTAAGTAAGAAAGCAGGCAAGTCCAGACTGGCTGACAGTAGCTTGAGGTCACTGTGGGCAGTTCTATCTCTCTCAGACTGCCAAGCTGGAGAGGCCAGGGGTTGAACCTGGGAACTTTGGCATGCAAGGCAGATGGTCTGCCACTGAGTTGTGGTCCTTGCACAGCTAACACAAAGCTTATGTTGTTCACAGTTGGGGACTGGGTTTTAGAAGGGCAACACTGAGGAAGATGTCAAAAGGAAGGACCCCCTCCAGGGCTTGATTGGAAGGAAGGAAGGAAGGAAGGAAGGAGGCAAGGGCTGACTGAGGGCAGACTAAGATTGATGGGAAAGAGCCCCATTTGCTTTTATGGACCAGTCTCCATGGCTGTGGAAGATTTTGCAGGTCTAGCTCTCTGCGCAAAGACCCTATTGATGACCCCACCCACCATAGATATTCATGTCAAGATTCCTGCATTGTAGGGGGTTGGACTAGATGACCCTTGGGGTCCCTTCCAACTCTACAAATCGATGATTCTATATGGCACAAATAGCAAGGGGCATTCCTTCTGTGCTGATGAACATGGGAACCCTCTTTTTTGTGAGTCCTGGGAAACCTGCTCGCTGTTTTGCAGGCCCTTTTTCACTTGGCCTGGGAGAGCAGGGCCCAGCTACAAAAGTTGAGGCTGCTAAACAGACTCTTGGGCCAGGGGGTTGTTTGGGAGGGGGTTGTTGCTGTTAATGGTATATTATTATTGTTGTTATTATTATTATTATTATTATTATTAATCTTTACTTTAGATCTTGTGATTTATGTAAAATTTGTTCTGTTTGGTTGTGTATTTTTTAATGTTTCATTTATTGTTTATGGATACTTACGGTACGTTATGTTGCAGTATTTTTTCATGTTGCAAGCTGCCTCATGTATGGTTTGAACTGTGTAAAGGTGGCATACAAATAAAGTCAGATATGTACGTAACACTGACACCAGTCTTTATATTTTGACCATTTGAACCCTGCCCAGAAAACTCCCCTATTTAAAATGCAGGCCGAGTCAACTTTTTGATTGGCTGAGTTAACTTTTTGATTGATGTTTGGTCCTTTTAAAAGGCCCCAAGTAGTCGGAGCCCCTATTACTTAATAAGTGCACTTAAGCCTCTAATTGCACACATTTGGCTAATCACTGTTATGTACAGTCAATTAAACCTACGGTTTTAAAGCACTTTAAATGGCGCACTCTGCCCCATACTGAGTAAATAAATAAGTAGGGAGATATTAAAATGCAAATTCTCAATATGGAGGAACAATTTCCAGGGAAGCAAGAATCTGAGTTCATGGATTTATTGACTGTATCGGTAATAACCGTTTCTTCAGCTCCTAAGCAGACACAACACTGATATGCTCCTTTGGGGCAGAACATAGGGATGTGGTGTGGAAAAAGTCCTAAAGGCCAGGTAAAGAGGCTAGGAAGGGGACTTTAGGCCCCCAAACCCAAGGTTCCTGACCTCTTTCCTACTGTCTGTGGACAAAGTTCTCCATCTCCTTCTTTCCGATCTTCAAAGAATTAGAATCACATATTGTCACTATACGCCTCCATCTCTCAATTCAGGCATGGGGAAACTTCGGCCATGCAGATGGAGTTGAACTTCAACTCCCATAATTCCTGGGCCATGCTTGCTAAGGCTGATTGGAGTTGAAGTACAGAGCAAAATCTAGAAGGCTGAAGCTTCTCTACTCCACTGCCTTAACCCAACTGTTCATTGTTGGATTTACTGTTATCATTTATTGCAGTTTTTTGTATCCTGCCTTACAGGATACAAATCCTTCCAAGTTAGCATACAAGAAACATGAAAATAATTTTTGAACACAACATCAATGCAATAAGCCAGGGGTCAGCAAACTTTTTCAGCAGGGGGCCGGTCCACTGTCCCTCAGACCTTGTGGGGGGCCGGACTATATATTTTGGGGGGGCGGAGAACGAATTCCTATGCCCCACAAATAACCCAGAGATTCATTTTAAATAAAAGGACACATATGCTGATTCCCGGACCATCCGCAGGCCGGATTTAGAAGGCGATTGGGCCGGATCCGGCCACGAGCCTTAGTTTGCCTACCCATGCAATAAGCCATATGAATGTATAATGATGTTTCTATATGAATGTATAAGGATGATCATATGGATGTTTCTCCCAGGGCAGCTGTTGATACAATGGCCTTGTGATGGTGGTTAATCTAGGTGAAACAGCTAGTCATTGCCAGCGTCTCTTTCTCTCCTCAAATCTTTCCATAGGGTAGTTGAAGGGATTCTAAGGGTCACCTGGTCCAACCCCCTGCAATGCAGGAATCACAGCTAAAGAATCCCTGACAGATGGCCACCCAACCCGTTCTTTAAAACCTCAGTTGAAGGAGAGTCCACCACCTTCTAAGGTATCCCAACAGCTCTTACCATCCAAAAGTTTGTTCCTAATGTTTAGTTGGAATCTTCCCTCTTGTAATGTGAGAATCCATTGGTTCAGGTCCTACCTTGGTCCATCTTCGGTGTGACATTCCTTCAGATAATTGAAGGCGGCTATCATATCGCCTCTCAGTCCTCTCTTCTCCAAGCTAAACATCCCCTACTCCTTCAACCCTTCCTCCTAAGGTTTGGTTTCCAGACCCTTGATCATCTTGGTCCTTCTCCTCTGCGCATGTTCCAGCTTGTCAATATCCTTCTTAAACTGTGGCAGATAGCCCTGTGAGGTTGTTTTGGGAGGAGTCCATCTGGAATAAGCTGCAACACTCTCTGTCCTGGAAGCCTTCGTACCAATCCTCCCTTCCAAATTGTTATGCTGTAGTGATTCTTCTATTGTGCATTTTGATTATTGCACTATTGTATTTCAATGGATTCCTCCCCCCATAAACCATTTTGAACATAACTGTGTTTGTAGAAAACATGCCACATAAATGCAGCCTATAAAACACTCTATGAAGACAAATGCCATCGTTTATTTACTTTTGTAGGATCTGGTGTGTTTGCTCCAGGAAGCATTTTTAGCAAATGTATAACTTTTTTTTGTGCACAAGAATTCCAGACACAGGTGGTCTGTACGTTCCAACATACATTATTTAGAATGGAAATTCTTTAGCCAAGTTGTGAGGGGAGAAAGAAAATTGCACCAGCTGGTACCAAAGAGTTATCTTTGTGGACATGA